GTTATACCTACCAAGTGGCCCGGCGATTGTTTTCCAGTCCTGATACATAAGACTAAAACCACTGGTTGATATTCAATTCTTTTTCATTTTTTTAAAATTTGCACATTTGTTTGTGGGTAGTTATTGTAGCACTTTTTTTTTGTGGTTTTCACCAGTGTACACTAGTATGTCTTTGGTTTTAACATTAATAAAATTTATTCATTTATTATTTTTTCCTTTTATTGACTATATTTCAGTGGTATACTCTGTTCAATAGTATATCTTCCCAGCAATATTGTCTGAGATTGATATACTTACTATTGAACTTTATTTGCTCTGTATCTTGTACTTAGCATACGCAGGTACACCCTCTGTTTTTCTTGTTGTAAGATTATTATTCTATATTCTACTCTACACATCCACTCCACTGTCACTTTAATTATATAGTGCATGTTTTTAGATTTTTGGGGTTCAGCTCTAGAACGTAAAATCCCCCCATATCTTCTCCTTTCTCAATCTCCATTATCTTCAGATCCACACGGCGCCTCACCAAACACTTATAAAAAAAGATAATTTCTGCAAAGTCTACATCTTTTAAAATAGAAAACAACAGTGTATGTATATATATATATACTGATCAGCCACATTAAAAAAACAATGAGCAAGTGAAAGGATCTGAGTGACTTTAGCAAGGGCCAAATAGTGATGGAGAGACGACTGGGTCAGAACATCTCCAAAACGGCAAATCTTGTGGGATTAGCACCTACCAAAAGTGGTACAAGGCAGGACAACCAGTGAACTGGCAAAATACAGATTAGGGAACAGTGCACAAACAAATACATTTTTACAATTTACAAGACTGCTTAAATTTAGCTCTCTCAGCAAACAAATATGGGTATTCATTTCCATCATATGGAAGTATTGTGTTAAGCCCACCGCTATGACGCAGTTCCCCAATATCGGTGGGTCCTAAACTAATTCCAACATGGAAGACAAATTAAATAGTGCTAGTGATAACTAAGCTGAAGTGTATTTCAATAATCTGTTTGTAAGAGCATTGTGAATATATATAATGCAAAATTAATGTGATAAAAAACATACAAAAAAAAATGTCAAGCTAAGCAATTAAAGTGATAATACTTTGATGTAAATACTGAATTTTTATTTGATGTAGAGCAGCTATATGATATGCATTGTCAGTAATGTAAACATTACAGTTTCTCTGGAAGGTTAAGGGGACAGGGACACTGCACCCAGACCATTTCAATGAGATGTAGTGGCCTGGGTGCCTATTGTGTCTCTTTAACCCCTTAAGGACACATGACATGTGTGACATGTCATGATTCTCTTTTATTCCAGAAGTTTGGTCCTTAAGGGGTTAAAGGATTTGGTATAGAGAGGCGTTCATGGTTGACTCAATGAATCATGACACTGTGTAATATGTCATATGTTGTTGATCATCTGAGGTAGTATTTACCTAATTTTAAGATCTGCTAAGGAACAGATAATTGTTATGTCCTGATGTGTAAAACCATAGAATAGAAGGTGTACTTTCTTTAACCCATGTCTGTAGAGGGCCTTATTTTACCTTGACTTGCAGAGAGTCCCAGTAATGAAGTATTTCCCAGGTAAGTGGATTAATCTCATAAAAGCAAGCATTAGGCTGCTAGAGTAGGACCTGCCAAAAATGGGGTACATTGACTTTGTGGCAGGCTTATGCAATGTATGATCATATATTGTAACTAACCCCCCATTATTTTTTGCCTATGTGGGTTGTTTTTAAATAAAACTATTACAATCTGTGAGATTTGAAATAATTGTTTAGTGAATAAGCGAGTGCGCTGGATTGTGTATGTTGTTTGATATATATATTAACACTAAATTAGTATCTTGATATCGTTAACATAATTTTAGATTGAGAAAGGGAGAATTTCCCAAAAGCTTGTCATTCCAAAATGACGCTAGTAAAAATGAAAATCCAGCGCATTTCCTTATCTACTAAACAGCTACTTCGGTGCTGACAGATTTTGCTATTTATATTAAAAACACCTAATCTAGGCAAAAAATAATGGGGGTTTAGTTACAGTATATGATCTGTCAGCACCAAAGTAGCTGTTTAGTAAATAAGGGAGTGCGCTGGATTTTCATTTTTACTGTACTTATTGGCCCCCAGCAGCACCCCATTTAAGTATGTTTAGGTGAGTGCAGCCAAACCCTTGTTTTCTCCTATATGTATATATCTAGGAGTCTAGCCAGCTCCTTGGTTTTGCACCCCTCCCTGTCACAGGTGCCTCATCTCAGGTCCCTATTTAGCCTTGTACTGCAGAAAGCTCGAGATGGAAGGATTTCCCCAAGTGAGTAGCTCATTTAGCAGACAGAGTAGGACCTGCCAAAGATGGGGTACATTGACAGTGTGGCAGGCTTATGCAATGTATGATCATATACTGTAACTAAACCCCCATTATATTTTGCCTAGATTAGGTGTTTTTAATAAAACTAGCAAAATCTGTCAGCGCCAAAGTAGCTGTTTAGTAAATAAGGGAGTGCGCTGGATTTACATTTTTACT